AAACATTTTGTCCGCGTCGTCGATTCGGCGATCTTTAGTGCACAAACGGATATTTGTTGAATAAATTGCTCCCTGAATCCGAGTGATTCTTAGAAGAACAACTATTTACAATTCTGAACATAAAAGTGTCTAAACACTCATCCACGACTGGGATGGGGTCCACCTATAACATGTCTGGTTTCTGGATTTTAATGAGTATATGGTATGATACTCTTTACCCCGATATGCATCCTTAACGAACCAAAGTTTGAATGATGTTCATATACAGTATATATGAGGATGGGAGTTAAATGGAAACTAGCACAGTTGATGTTTTTTTCTAGAGGAATCACAATTAACATCACAAGATGATGCCTTGAAATCAGTTATTTCTCATACAGTTAAACACTTACCAGCTGGCATTCTCTCCGACCTTCTTTTAAACAAAGACAGTGTGATCTGTGTGTCCAAATAAGCAGAAATTTCCTCGTGCTGCATGTTGGCTGACTTCATTTGTGTAAATCAATGTTTGTTGCCAACAAACATTCAAGGCTATTTTCTAATGAGATCTTTTGAATGCACTAAAAATGAAGCATTACCTAGAAAAAACAGTTCCATATGCCCAGAGTTGGCCGTTTTTTGCTTCACTTTTCAGGGTGGTCGTCTTTTGTTTGGATATGTTCTATTAAGGAACTGATTATTTTTCACCTTTTTCTTCTCTCTGGTACTATTGAGTAGGGTTGAGTCCAGCTCTGCCCTTGTTAGATTTCTCTCATCTTGGCTCTTTCGGTGGGTTCGGGTGAGTTTTTTTAGTTCAAGGCTTTCACAACAGACTCTGCACACAGATTGACGCACTTGTGGTCAATCATGGCCTCACGGTTTGCTTTGCTCTCACGCCACTGACTCATGGCCCAGCGAATCACTGAAAATACCTTCTTTGCTGCTTTTTTTTCTCCTCTCGTCTGAGGGGGCTCGGGTCACCTTATGATTAAACAAAGTCTCTAGATTTCCACCTGTTTCAGTTTTTTCTCTTGGCTGCGGTTTAGCTCTACATGAAATGCCAGTAGACTTTGGCATTTTTTTGTTTTTTAGTTGCAAAGCTCTGACTGTCATAGTAGAAGTTTGATTGACTTGTGGTTCCTACGTTGTTGTTCTGGGTTGTATTTTCTTTCTGCACACATTGCATTGCAGACAAGACTGTTTTAAATGTTTGCCCGTGCAAGTGAAATTCCCTGTCAAGCCAATGAGTTCTGAAATGTAAGTAACAGTCTTAGGAGTCAGAGTCCCCCAAATTAATTGTCAGGTTCTCCCCAAACCTTTCTCCAAACATCCATTACCTTTAATATTGAGGTCACAACATGTTATTTTATTTTATTTTATTTTTTGATGGCTAAACTTGTTACCTACATTTGGATCATATGAAAAAAACATTTTCCCTTTATCTCATGCAATCAAAGCAACTTTTCTCTACTTAAACAAGAAGTCCAATAGAAGTTTTTACCGTTATTGTTTAGCTATCCTGTCATGCAAAAATTGACAAAAAACAATCATGGCTGATAAAAACCAATCGGATTAATCGTGATTAGTCGATTATTGAAATAATCATCAACTAATTTAGTAATTGATTAATCGTTAACAGTCTAGAGACTCTAAAGTAGGCCATTAGCTGACAGAGTGATCCTCCTAAAGCAGTAATTATACCAAAATTGTAAAAAAAAAAAAATATAAAAACATTTTGCAATTAAGATAAATGGAACGTTTTTGTCTGTCAAAATGCTCTATCCAGAACTCCTCCAGGGGAAAAGTTTTAGTTCCACCTGGTTTTATTTTGTAAAAAATCTTCTTTAAGGAACCCTTTGCTATCCGATTATTAATCGATATATAAAAAAAAATGATGGAAAGATTAATCGCTTTGCAAAATAATCATTAGTTGCAGCCCTACTAGCAACGACCATGATAGAGTAATCAATAAGAATAGAAAGTCAGATTTTTTGAATTATTTCCACCACACAGTATACTGCGGGATAGAGACAGAGAAATGGATTTAGTCTCTCAAACTCTGACGTCCAAACTAAGAACGGTTGGTAGAAGGGCTGACACATTTGTAAAGGTTAAAGGTCAGGTTTAAATAGAATCAGTGTTACAGTTTAAATTCAGAGCTTTTTTTCCCCCGGGTCCTTATTTTAAATAGATAAACACTAATTAATTATCAGTTATCAACCAATATGAGAGACTTATGTTGGGTATTTTTCAGCCATCGGTTTCTGGAACGGATCACTGCAGTGTGAGCCCTAGTAGCCCAATAGAACAGTACCCTTGCATTGTTACAACTGTCTGACTTGGACCCTATTGGCTTGTAGTGTGAATGACTGTCATTGTACCCAGCGCAGAATGAGAGGAAATGATGTAAGATAAAAAAACATTTAAGGCTTTATTCTAAAGATTGAATATTTTGAAAATGTGGTGTGGGAGGAGTGAAGAGCTGCACCAAAGTAGCAGCAGAAAACCCATTGGATGTTTTTTTTTTTTTTCTCCGTGCTTATGATTTCTTGATCAGTGCTATACTGGAGCAGTACTGCCCTTCTAACAATCAGTCTAAAATGCATAATGTTTTTTGATTTGGACTAAAGAAATACCTGTGTGAAAGCTTTAACTGCTTCCCGGACCGATCCGTGGAGCGGCCCAAGAGTGAGTGGGACCTGGGAGAATATTTCCAGCAAAAAATAGCTTTGGTAATAGGGCTGTAAGAAAGAATTGATCCTGTCAAATACAACAATATTTTATTGGGCAATATTTTTATATATTCAAAATACCAATATCATGATATCTATGATATCATGATAAGATGGTACTGGTATGGATTGAAATACATCCAAATGCATCTTAGATGTATAATATACGTATAGAAAAGAACAGCAATTTTTTTGTCTAACTTTTTTGTAACTCTTAAACCTCCAGCCGCTAGGTGGCAGCGCAGCGCCTAAGAGCCAGTTATTCAGCGGCAGCAGAGCAACAACGAGCTCTCGTGAGGTTTTCCAGAGCTATATTATCATAAAAATTGCAATATGTAGTCTTTGTTTAAGTATCATGACATATCCACATAAGTGATAACATAACAGATGTATATATCGTATCACCAAATTCCTGCCAATTTGTTTCTAAAAAGAAAAAGCTGCACAGCCTTAAGCTTTGTTTGAAGATTCCCCCATAAGGAATAGCTGTTAAAGATTTTAAAATAAAGTGAAAACTGTGAAATTAAAGACTTTTTGATATTTTTTATTTTTTAAACAACTAACGAACAATATATAATTAAATATTTTAAATCAACTAGACCGATGTTTGCTGTTTATTTGGTTCTTCACTTTGCATATTTACCGTTTTGCTCTTTAAGCTCCAGATTTTCAGCAGTTGTTCCACAAGGCTCAGCAGAAACAGGCTCAGTGTGCTCAGTGTAAACATAATAACCACATCCACATAAATATTGAAAAAATATTTTAAGGCATAATGATGACAAAACTTTTGTTTTGTATATTNCGGGCACCATAGACCTCCATTATTTGAATGTCAGCAGACAGCAAGAAGCCTCCCAGATCTCCAGATGCATTTGAGATATCAAAAAAGTACTCCAGAGTGTTGTTCAGCATGGGGGTGAGTAGAAAATGAAGGCTAATCATGTTTTGGGTGTACTATTCCTTTAAAGACTTTGATGGTATTTATTTTTTAAACAAGTAACGAACAATATATAATTAAATATTTTAAGTCAACTTGAGCGACGTTTGCTGTTTATCTGGTTCTTCACTTTGCATAGCTCCAGATTTTCAGCAGTTGTTCCACAAGGCTCTTCTCATCAATCCTGTGTGTCTTTTTGTCTACATTATTGGGGTCTCCTCAAACTAACTTTTGATAGATAAACGTTTAAAAATGAATGAGAGAGACCAATTAAAAACATTTGTATCAAAACAGGGATTGTTTAGGAGCCATAATGTTATGTTTTGTAACCCCACTAGCCCAAAAAAAGGGTAAAAAGTAAAATGATTGGAGAATGTGAAGTAATTTAGAATTATAAAATAGCAACTATATTGTTCAGTATTATTCCCATTAATTAAAGCCTTTGAAGGATGTGATCATTCATACATTAAGTTCTAAAACATCTAATCTTCTTTATTGTTCTTTTACAATAAAAGTTCATTCAATTCAGTTTATTTATATGGCGCCAATTCACAACACGTCATCTCAAGGCACTTTACAGTTCACCAGATAATACAACCAAATTAATTCAAAGTTTTCTACCTAAGGAAAACCAGTTGACTCATTGACTCAAAGGTAATCCCTCACACTAAGCATGCTTGTAGCGACAGTGGAGAGGAAAAACTCCCTTTTAACAGGAAGAAACCTCCGACAGAACCAGGCCCAGTGTGCTCAGTGTAAACATAATAACCACATCCACATAAATATTGAAAAAATATTTTAAGGCATAATGATGACAAAACTTTTGTTTTGTATATTTAATCATTTAAATGCAACTATAAAAAAATAGATTATTATTTGGAAAAGTGCTGATTATGTTTGATTATGTAATGCTTTAATTTGGTTTGCTGACAGCTATTATTAGTATTATAGTATTATATGCCCAGAAACAGGGACATATTTAAGAATCAGACAGAATAATTTAAAGAAAAGATGCAATCCTCTTGCTTTTATTAATGATACATTGCTGACTTTGATTGAAATTATTATTATTTTTTTTTTTACATTTGTATTTTCATGTACTTTCATGTTTCCTCCCAATTTCTATAGATACTGATGGCAAGTCAGGTTCACTTACTCTGTTCAAACAGAACCTTAACATTTCTGTGAAAAAAAAAACAAAAACAAAACAGGAACATTTCAGTTTTTAGAAAAAAAAGAAAAGGAAATGTGTGCTTTAGTTCTTTGCTGCTGATTAGCTGAGCTAACACAAAGGGACAGATGGTGTTGAAAAACAAGTCAAACCAAAGCTTTGAATCCATGCCTGTCCACAGTTTTTTACAGAATACGGACCGGACTACTCGCTGGAGATCAGTCCGAGTTGTAGACCAGACCGCAACGACAGCAAACACCTGGAGCGGGTCGTCAGTACCATCAAAGGTATGTGTGATATTTCTGTTTACTGGACGCCCAGGTGCATCTCTGTGTGCGCAGCGTAAAACAGGTGCGTGTCTGTTTTTGTGGAAGTGAACCCTCACTCACCTACAGCCCTTTTTTCTCTGCGTGGCTCTTTCAGTGTTTGGTTTCATGTGTCTTTTCTTGTTGCTGTCTGCCTCTCTGCTGGATGAAAGTATAGCTTCTTTAGTCTTTTGTCCCTGTGGCTCTTATCGTCCCTTTGTGCGTCTTTGTGTTCTGCATGGTAAGTATGATCTGGTTCTCTGGCCTGCGTCCTCTCTTTCACCTTCTGGATCACAACAAATGTTTTTTTTTTTTTTTTCTAAATTCGTCTGCATATGGTTTTAAGTTTGATCTAAAATCCTCCTCCTCAAGCATCTCGCGCGTGTGTGTGTGTGTGTGTGTGGTAGCTTGTGGTTAAGTGTAGAGTCAGCCTTTTGGTTTTGATCTTGACAGCCCGCAGGTCTCAGGAGAGGTGATGCAGAAGGGTGAAGCTACGGTGGAAAGAGCGGCAGGAAGATTTCTATAAAAAGTGTTCAGGAGAAAAAATGCAAAACTTAGTCTATTTTTTTTATTTAATTTCACTTTTTTTCTACCTTGGCAGAGAAAAAACTTATAAATTTCCATAAACCAAGAAAACCTTTTTTCGAGAAGCTCTTGCTGGCTTCTGAGTCAAAAAAAAATTGAAAAGCATGGTGGGAGCCTTCTAACCTGACTCCACCAGATGGATTTGCTCCGCATATCCATCTGG